CATCATCTGCAAACATTGACAAAATAGACTCAACTCGTGCAGTCATTTACATAAATGAGTAATAGTATGGGACCCAGCAGTGATCCTTGAGGCACCCCGCTTGTTACTCTACGCCAGGCCAACTCCTCGCCTTCATTCTCACTCTGACACCTGTCTGTCAGGTAATTCCTTACCCATGGTAGAGCGTTTCCGTCTACTCCCGCCTGATTCTAAGTTAGTATAGTAACTTTCCGTGTGGTACTGTATCAAAGGCTTTATGGCAGTCCAGAAAAATGCAGTCTGCCCATCCTTCTCTTTCTTGCCTTATTTTCGTTACCTTATCATGAAACTCCAGGAGGTTCGTCAGGCATGATTTCCCTGGTCTGAAGCCATGTTGTTGTTTACTTACAAACTTAATTCTTTCCAGGTGTGCAACTAGTCTTAACCTTATTGTTCTTTCAAGTACTTTGCAAGGGATGCTTGTGAGAGACACTGGTCTGTAGTTAAGTGCCTCTTCTCTATCTTCTTTCTTGTAGATTGACACCGCATTGGATTGTGTGCGTACTCATCTACTTGTACTCACCTAATTAGTAGATGTAGAAATTAGTAGACCGAACCTAACCTAATGGTTAGGTTCGGTCATATATCTACGTTAATTTTAAGTCCAATAAAAAGAATTGACCTCATATATAATGAAATGGGTAGCTTTATCATTTCAAAAGAAAAAAATTATAGAAAATATATTAATTCATGAAAACTTGGCTTATTAGGCAAATTGGGCCTTGCATAGTAGGCTGGGAAGTGCGTTCTGGCTACTAGGTACGACATATATATATATATATATATATATATATATATATATATATATATATATATATATATATATATATATAACTCTAACATCCTCTAACAGCCTCCTTATTCAAGTGACTTATTATATATATATATATATATATATATATATATATATATATATATATATATATATATATATATATATATATATATATATATATCCGAAAATGTAAGAGTAATAATTCTAACACGAATCTTCTCAATATTTCTTATGTTTTCTTCACTGTCGGTGGTAATAAAAATAAAATTTTTCCGAAATTAATTTTTTAATTGTCTGACGCCTGAACGCGTTTCGTAATTCGTATTACATTTTCAAAGACTTAATTTACACACAAATTCTTCGTATTTATACTCTATTGGATGAGGTGATATGGTACAAAAGTTTTGGGTGAGGTGACAAACACAAGACAGAACACGAAACAATGGGTATAAATTGAATAAGTGAACATATGAATGGAAGTAACTGCAGAAGGTCTATTGGCCCATACTTCCTCTTGCTGCTTCCATGTTAGTTTGGGGTCTTCAAGTAGGTAGAATATAGTTGTGCATTAATTGGTTGTTGATTGCTGATGTTGACTTTTTGATGTGTAGTGCCTCGCAGATGTCAAGCCGCTTGCTATCGCCGTACCTATCGATGATTTCTGTGTTGTTTGTTAAGATTTTTCTGGTGATGGTCTGGTTGTGAGACGATATTATATGTTCCTTAATGGAGCCCTGTTGCTTATGCATTGTTAATTGCCTGGAAAGAGATGTTGTTGTCTTGCCTATATACTGAGTTCTTTGGGGCTTACAGTCCCCAAGTGGGCATTTAAAGGCATAGACGACGTTGGTCTCCTTCTAAGCGTTCTGCTTGGTGTCTGGCGAGATTTTCATGAGTAGATTGGCCGTTTTTTTGGTTTTATAATAAAATATCAATTGTATTTTCTGATTTTTGTCTGTAGGGATAACGTTCCTATCAACAATATCATTCAGGACCCTTTCCTCCGTTTTATGAGCCGTCGAAAAGAAGTTCCTGTAAAATAGTCTAATTGGGGGTACAAGTGTTGTGTTGGTTGACTCTTCAGACGTTGCATGGCGTTTTACCTTTCTTTTTATGATGTCTTCAATGAAACCGTTAGAGAAGCCGTTGTTGGCTATGACCTGCCTTACCCTACAGAGTTCTTCATCGACTTCTTTCCATCCTGAGCTGTGGCTTAGAGCACGGTCGACGTAAGCATTGACAACACTCCTCTTATACCTGTCTGTGCAGTCACTATTGTCATTGAGGCACATTCCTATGTTTATTTCTTTGGTGTAGACTGCAGTGTGGAAACCTCCGCTCCTTTCTGTGACTGTTACATCCAGAAAGGGTAGCTTCCCATTGTTCTCCATCTCGTACGTGAAACTCAACACAGAATTCTGCTCAAAGGCCTCCTTCACCTACTGCAGACATCTGGCATCAGGTACCTGTGTAAAAATGTCGTCAACATACCTGCAGTATATGGCGGGTTTCAAGTCCATGTCAACTAAGACCCTCTGCTCGATGGTACCCATGTAGAAGTTCGCAAACAGGACACCTAGGGGAGAACCCATGGCGACTCCATCTACTTGCTAATACATGTGCCCATCTGGGCTCTCGAAGGGTGCCTCTTTAGTGTAGGCTTGGAGTAGTTTTCTTAGTATGCTTTCTGGCATGTCAAGAGGAGTGCAAGCCGGGTCACGATACACTGTCTGCTATCATCCCGATTGTCTCGTCCACAGGTTCGTTGGTATATAGTGACTCTACATCCAACGAAGCTCTTATTCCCGTGGCCCGTGCCCCTGCGCAGTAAGTCGACAAATTCCCTGGGAGACTTCAAGCTGAAAGCACAGGGTACATAAGAAGTCAGCAACCCATTGAGTCGCTTAGCCAGTCTGTATGTGGGTGTGGGTATCTGGCTGGAGCTTCAAGTCTCCCAAGGAATTTGTCGACTTACTGCGGAATATTGCCAGGAGCAATGCAACTGGTATGTACAGGACGCCTTAATCCGCTTGACCATCACGACCGGGCATAAATAAGTGATAGCCGAAGCTATATGAACCACTTCCCCGCCGGCACTCGGATGGGAATCTTGGGCATAGCATTTTATCAAATCACCTCATTCTTTGGGGCACACATGAGGAACACAAATGCGAACAAGCCTGAATGGTCCCCAGGACTATATGCAACTGAAAACTCAATGAAGTTTCAGTTGCATATATGAGGTGATGAGGGGATTTGATAAAATGCTATGCCCAAGATTCCCATCCGAGTGCCGGCGGGGAAGTGGTTATATTACAAGTATAATATATATATATATGTATATATATATATATATATATATATATATATATATATATATATATATATATATATATATATATATATATATATATATATATATATATATATATATACTTGTTTCTCTCTTTTCACCACACGTCATTGCAATTTTCATTCCCAGTCTTTACGAGCCACTGTTGTAGGCCGAACCCTGTACTTCCTCGAAAACAAAATCCCCAAGTAATGTTCTGGAGCGAGTTGCAAAGTATTGAGTACCTCTCTCTCTCTCCCTCCCCCTCCCTCCCTCCCTCCCTCCCTCCCTCCCTCCCACCCTCTCTCTCCCTCCCTCCCTCCCTCCCTCCCTCCCTCCCTCCCTCCCTCCCACCCTCTCTCTCTCTCTCTCTCTCTCTCTCTCTCTGTCTCTCTCTCTCTCTCTCTCTCTCTCTCTCTCTCTCTCTCTCTCTCTCTCTCTCTCTCTCTCTCGTTATTTACTATTATCTCCTCCTCCTTCCTATAGTGCCCCAATTACCATATATATTTGAGAGTGTTGCAATACAAGGTCAGAGCACCACCCAGAATGTTGGCTGGAAATTATTGACTGCTTCCATGAGTCTTGTTCAGCATCACAAGACCCGGAGATGACTCCAGACTTTGGTCATTTATATTCAGCTATAATTTGTAACCTAACCTAACCTAATCTAACCAAACCTAATCCACTCTAACCTAATCTAACTTAACCTAACTAAACCTAATCTACTCTAACCTAATCTAGCTTAACCTAACTAAACCTAACGTAATGTAACGTAACGTAATCTAACCTAACCTGACCTAGAGTAATGGAACATTACCTATCCTAACCAAATCCCTAGTATCCTAATCTCACCTAACCTCCCCTAACCAAACCTAGCATTACTTAACCTAATTTAACCTAACATAATCATCCCAAATAAAGTCTTTCCAACCCAAACTAACTTAACCTTACTGAACTTAACCTAACTAAAGCTAACCTAAGCCTACCTAATCTGACCTATCCTAACCTGAGCTAAATAACCGATTTTATCCTATCGTACTCTAATTAAAGCTTGCAAAACTTAATATAACCAAACTACTATAACTAAACCTAACCTAAATTAACACAACTTAACCTAACCTAAATTAACACAACTTAACCTAACATAAACTAACATAATCTACCCTAACCTAACGTAACCTAACTTAACCAAGACTAATGTGACTTAACCTAACCAAACCTAACGTAGACTAACCTAACGTTATCTAGATCAACTTAGCCTTACCTAACCTGTAAGAGACACCAACTCTCAATCCATTTATATGTTAAATTCTCCGCTATGCAATACTTGGGTTATTTAATTAAATGTATCACATTTTGGCGGCGATGGAGTGTAGCCCTGGATTAGGTTAGCGTATTTTAGGTTAGGTTAGGGTAGGTTAGGTTAGGTTAGCATTGGTTAGGTTTGGTTTGGTGAAGTTAGGTTAGGTTAGGGTAGGGTAGGGTAGGGTAGGGTAGGGTAGGATAGGGTAGGTTAAATTAGGGAAGGTTATGTTAGGTTAGGTTAGGGTAGGGTAGGTTAGGTTAGGTTATGAGGCACAACTTTTCTCTTGTAAATCCATGCTGCCATATTATTACAGTTTATCCTCTCCAGATGTTCAGTTTTCTCATCCTGATAACTTCTTCCAACATTTTTAAAGATAATTCTTGCCAGTGATACTCATCTGTACCTTAGTGCCTCCTGTCTGTCTGGGAGTACTGTTGCCTTTCTACAATATTCTGAGGTTTCCTGTTTCAGGTGCTTTATTGAAACTTTAGATAGAAGTTGTCTCTGCAGCTGAGAGACTATTGATTGTGCTGCATCTAATTCTCCAGGTGCTTCTTAATCTCCTTCACTGTGACTACGAGGTCATCCCATATCACCTGACCTTTGACCCCTCACATCTGGTGTCCACACTGGTTCTTCTGCCAAGACCTCTTGAAATCACAAGCACAATTAAATCATTGGAATACAATTCATCTATGAGTAGATTTTAGGCTGTCTAATGAGATCGAACCTGCGTCTTTGCTAATTAAAAATATTCAGGAGGCATTCTTCAATAAATATTCTTTACGAAGCACATTAGTCCCTCATGAGAAAGTCAGTGTGGAAAGAATAAGGCATTATAATAGGATTTCAAGGATGACTTGAACAGGTTGCATAGCTGGTCCAAGAAGTGGCTGCTAGAATTCAACACCAGCAAGTGTAAGGTGATGGACTCGTACTCGAATCATCACAAATTTAAAATACATTCATTAAATAAAAATAAAAAAAAACTATTCAATGCAATTAACACATAATGATCATTGTGTCAATAACGTTGACAGTTGTGGGAAGGTAGTTTGGAGTTAATTATAGTGGGGACGTGAACTGCCCCCGGAGCCGACTCCTGCCACAATGGCGAGTGGAGTAGCGACGACATTTGTCCGAAAGGTCTTTGTGGTACTAAATTGTGAGGGAGCGAGGCGGTTCGTACTAGGACAGGTATACATACACACATATACATATACACTAACACCAATGTATGCACATGTACTCACCTGTTTGTACTCACCGATTTGTGCATGCGGGGGTTGAGCTTTGGCTCTTTGGTCCCGCCTGTCAACCATCAATCAACAGGTGTACAGATTCCTGAGCCTACTGGGCTCTATCATATCTACATTTGAAACTGTGTATGGAGTCAGCCTCCACCACATCACTGCCTAATGCATTCAATCTGTTAACTACTCTGACACTGAAAAAGTTCTTTCTAACGTCTCTGTGGCTCATTTGGGTCCTCAGTTTCCACCTGTGTCCCCTTGTTCGCGTCCCGCCAGTGTTGAATAGTTTATCCTTGTCTACCCTGTCCATTCCCCTGAGGAGTTTGTAAATAGTGATCATGTCTCATGATCACTACCCACGCACCAACCCTACCTAACCTAACCTAACCTATCTTTATAGGTTAGGTTAGGTAGCAGAAAAAGTTAGGTTAGGTTAGGTTAGGTAGGTTAGGTAGTCGAAAAACAGTTATTTCATGAAAAATTGGCTTATTAGGCAAATCGGGCCTTGCATAGTTGGCTGAGAAGTGCGTTCTGGCTACTAGGTACGACATGTATATATATATATATATATATATATATATATATATATATATATATATATATATATATATATATATATATATATATATATATATATATTATATATATATATATATATATATATATATATATTTTGTGATGATAATCTCTTTCAAGAGATTGAGCCTGCTCTTCCCTACATCATTACGTCGTTAAAGTACAAGATACTATATAGAAGATACGTCCACCAGTATCGCCAAACGTTTTGCCCAGGAAGCAAATCGTACCATGCACACCCCGACACCAGCCACAGCCGCCGTAACCAGCAAACTGCTCATCCTCCGCCTGCCTGTTGCTGATTGGCTGATGTCTCGCCGCACCTGCACTCACGCCACCACCAGAGTCGTTGTCTGGGCAGCAGTACGCCGTACTCGTCAGAATATCTTTGTGCTCCTTGGAGTTGACATCTCTCGCTAGTAGACTAAGCCTTGGCTTTCGTGTACTAAGGGAGGTGGCAGCTTGAAGCCAGTATTCCAGCACCTCATTTATATTGCTATCACTATTTTTGCATTCTGGTCTTAGAGTAACTTTTCATTGCCAGTAATTATTCATGTTATTTTGTTTGTTGACCAGTGTTGAATTTTATGAGATTGTCTTTATTCATGTCTTGTTTTCTAGAGTAATTAAAATTTCATTGTTTATATTCTTGTGTTTTGTGTGTCTTCCCATTACCTTACCACAGACGAAAGGGCAAACTTTTCTCTTATATATATATATATATATATATATATATATATATATATATATATATATATATATATATATATATATATATATATATATATATATATGTCGTACCTAGTAGCCAGAACGCACTTTTTGGCCTACTATACATGGCCCGATTTGCCTAATAAGCCAAGTTTTCATGAATTAATTGTTTTTCGACTACCTAACCTACCTAACCTAACCTAACCTAACCTAACTTTTTCGGCTACCTAACCTAACCTAACCTATAAAGATAGGTTAGGTTAGGTTAGGTAGGGTTGGTTAGGTTTGGTCATATATCTACGTAAATTTAAACTCCAATAAAAAAAAATTGACAACATACATAATGAAATGGGTAGATTTATCATTTCATAAGAAAAAAATTAGAGAAAATAACTTAATTCAGGAAAACTTGGCTTATTAGGCAAATCGGGCCTTGCATAGTAGGCTGATAAGTGCGTTCTGGCTACTAGGTACGACATATATATATATATATATATATATATATATATATATATATATATATATATATATATATATATATATATATGTGTATATCACGAAAATAAACACGTGATTAAGAATGTGACAATGTCAGACCACGGAGGAAAAATGAAACAGGAAATTTCCTTAAGTACTTTCGTATATTAAATACATCTTCAGAAGACCTTCTGAAGATGTATTTAATATACGAAAGTACTTAAGGAAATTTCCTGTTTCATTTTTCCTCCGTGGTCTGACATTGTCATATATATATATATATATATATATATATATATATATATATATATATATATATATATATATATATATATATATATATATCCATCCAGAGAGAAATGGTAAAGGGAGCTGAAGGCTTCGGGTGATTATAGTGGTTGTCAAGACCAGAGTGACTGAGAGAAACAGAGGGAGGGTGGAGGCCAACAACTGGGACCTGACCACCCGTCCCCTGGGAAACATTACCCAGAAGCAGGTGCAGATTAGCTTACAACAGTCAGAAGGAACAAGCCGTCAGAGAATAAGTATCAAAGATTAAACAAAAGCCTCATTGAACAAACACATAATATTGGATTATAATATTGTGTTGAGACATTGTACCCTCCCCATCACAGTTTTTTCTTAAACTGTTGTGCAATATTGTAGCTTAGGAGTAGGTCAAGTTTGTACATACCAGTACTAACATTGAGAAGATTGGGACACTGACTGATTAGGGAAGACTCAATTAAATTCCGTTCCACAAAACCATTGAAATTTGTAATGCTTTTTGCTCCATCCCAATTCATTGTGTTATCACACAAACTCGTGTATAGATACAATGCACTACACGTTTGGGCAGTTCTTATACTATAACCATGTTGGGACAAACGCAATTGTAAGGATTTTCTTGTTTGCCCAAGATACTCAGACTCACAATCATTGCAGGGAATCGAATACACACAACCTGCTGTATTAGAGGAGTTTTGTACTAAATTGGACTTGATCGTACTACTAGTGAACACCAAAACGATATTAAGGTTCTTAGAAATTGGTATTTTAAGGTACTGTAATTTTATTGTACCAGACCTGTAACTTCACTGTACCAGTCATGTACCTGTAACTTCACTGTACCAGTCATGTACCTGTAACTTCACTGTACCAGTCATGTACCTGTAACTTCACTGTACCAGTCATGTACCTGTAACTTCACTGTACCAGCCATATACCTGTAACTTCACTGCACCAGTCATGTACCTGTAACTTCACTGCACCAGTCATGTACCTGTAACTTCGCTGTACCAGCCATGCACCTGTAACTTCACTGTAACAATCATAATGTTCTTCACAATAAGTTAAAGTAGGGAGGGTAGTAGTAGGGATGACACCCTATGAGTGATTTTTTGTTTTTTTGGCAATCACTCATACAGTGTCAGGGGTTACAGGTAAGTTTGGTCAGTCACTGATTTGGAATTAAAGAATTCTTATGAGAAAAATAATTTCCGAGATCTTAGACGTTTGTTAAGAGTTCTTAGGGGGAAAATAATTTCCGAGATCATAGAAGTTTGTTAAGGTTTCTTAAGGGGAAAATAATTTCCAAGATCTTAGAAGTTTCTTAAGAGTTCTTATGGGAGAGATTCAAAAATTTTCAGAGTTCAGTTTTATGAAATATTTCAGAGTTCGTGTAATCATAGAAATTTATTTACGAATTTATGACCGAAATTTGGAAAAACGACCATTTTGAGAGAATATTGTCATAGAAGTTTTGTTAAGAAAAACAGACATCTAAACAGTAAGTTTTAGTTTTTATATGCATTTACGACTGTTTCACCTGTAAAACTGAAAATTAATCAGAGACCATTTGTGGACTGATTTTCTTCAGAGTCGTTTTAGGACCGAAAAATTAGTCAGAGACCAGTTTAAGCTCAAATTTCATCAGAGTCCAGTTTAGGCCCCAAAATTCATCAGAGTCCAGTTTATACCCAAAAATGATCAGAGTCCAATTAACGATAGAAAATTAGTCAGAGACCAGTTCATGCCGAAAATTCATCAGAGTCCAGGTGTAAACAGAAATTCGTCAGAGTCTAGTTTTAGCCTGAAAAATTAACAGTCCTGTGAAGACCCAAAATTAGTAAGAGTCCATTTTCAGACCAATTTTCATCAGAATCCAGTACACGCCGAAAATTCGTCAGAGTCCACTTTAAGACCAAATTTTAACAGAGTCCTTGACAATAAATTGAACAATAAAATATAAAAAAGAACAAACTCAATTAAAGAAAACAAGAACAGATATGTTTTGAACTGAACACGTCATAAGAGTGAACAAAAAGTTATATTTGTTCCTTAATAATTTGTTCAGTTCACTTTCAAGAAAGGAAACTCATTCATGAACAAAAACTGAGGGAAACTTTTGAGAAATGTGATCACGGTAAAATATCTTGCAGAGAGAACACTTGTAAATTGCAAAGAAATGCAGAGATGTCAGACTCAGACTTCCACGGTGCGGGGCCTGCAGGAGTGAGAGAGAGAGAGAGAGAGAGAGAGAGAGAGAGAGAGAGAGAGAGAGAGAGAGAGAGAGAGAGAGAGAGAGAGAGAGAGAGAGAGAGAGAGAGAGTGGGAAATACTCCATGTTGCAGGTATCTCTATTGTTCTAAACTTCCTAATGAAGTTTATATTGGGTATACTGTGTCAGTGGT